AAAAATTAATTAAAATAAGGAATGTCCACCTTTGAGCGTGAATATCTCGAAAACCAATCACTTTATGAGTTCCCAACATATTTATTCATGATTTATTTAAAAAATATTAAACACGTAAAAGTATAGTCCAAATAAGTTTTTGGGCAGTGGCGTAAAATTTAGAGGGGATGAAAATATTCGGTTAGGTTGAAAATGAGTTTGATGATCTCATCGCCTTCCACTGCGACCCAGGTGGGTCTATTGTGGCTCATGACTAACTTATAGTTCACCGTACAAGTCACACCTTTTGATGAAGGCCATGGTTGAATTGGGTGCGACTTGCCTGGGGTATCTCTCCAGTTCGCGAGTGTTGCACCCTCCGTCCATTTTGAGATAAATCCTTTGGCAGTGCTCTTTACAATGCCCAGGAATGATTCTGGTCCTATGAACACAGATTCGGTTCCTCTTTTAGCAAGTGCGTCGGCTTTTACGTTGCCCTCCACACCACTGTGTCCCAGAACCCAGATCAAAGTAACTTTGTTCCGGGCACCGAGGCATTTAAGGGTATTTATACAGTTCGAAACCAGCTTTGAGTCAACTCGATCGGAGCTCAGGGCCTTAAGGGCTGCCTGGCTATCTGAAAAGATCTTTATAGTCTTGTTTGCGGGGAAAATGTTACTTATCCATGCCGTACGCCACTGGCAAAGTTTATTCAACTGATTGTTTTGCTGATAGGTATATATTTATGATACCAAAAATGTTTACCGAATTTAGTAAAATTATACAAATACAATGATTATATTGAGAAATAAAATAAAAATATAGGCATTAACTTTCAACTTTAACCCTGTATTTCGGAAACTAGTAATACTTTATTTAAGCATGTTTCGATTAATCGTCTTATTTTTAATCAGAGAATCTTCAGTTATTTTTTGTCCCGTTCTTAGTGAGACACTATGTATACCTGTAAACCACTATCTACATTTTACCTATTAATTAAATTAAATTAAGTTACGATTGTTGAATGTTTTAATTCGTTCTAAAATGGAATGAAAACGGTTTAATATTTCTCAATTATGTTTACTAATACCTCCTTAAAATATTACGATGTATAATACCAATTTTAAAAAACATGCTATTACAGGGTGTTTGAAAAATGTTTAAAAAATTGCAAGTACGAACCTGCAAATATACACTGGAGTGTAAAAAAATTTACTGAATGGTTCATTACTTATGGAAAGAAATGAAGTATTTCGATTATTAAGAGATATAGGATAAATACCCATTATATATGGTATAATTTGAATTACCTTGGTGACCTCTATCCACGGATAGAACTTTTTTCCATTTCCCAATGAAATACCCAGTATATGTTTCGAAAATAGGTAGGCTAAAACAAATTTCGATAAAACTAACTTAATTCTGAAGTTAAAAACAAGCAGAATAAACACAGGGGCGTACCAACGCCTTAGTTTCTATATTAGCCCTTCGGCCAACTCGGACATATACCTGCTACAAAGATTATCAAGATCAGACTCTACATTCATGCCGTAAAAATATTGTTATGACCTCGACCCTTTAAATTTGAGTGTTCACGTTGTTGCCATAATGATCCATATACAGTACGTTAACCAAGACATCAAGCAAAATAAAGATGAGACGCTTAATTATATTTGGACGTGAGTGGGATAAAAAAAGTGACATATGCTTCGTCTATGTGTGTGACGTGATTGGACGCATGGTCACATCTCTACTATTAAGTGGAATAACGCGTATTTTATTTGTTTTTATCCAATAGTATTGTTTTTCTATACCGTTCTGTTGGATTGTTGGAAAGTTAACGTACTGTATATAATTGAATGTCATGATGAACACTGTTTCTGATGAATTAGAAAAGCTCCCTATTTAAATAAAAAAGAAATATTCTCTAATTGAACAGACATATAGGGAAGACGTGGGTATAGTGGCCACCCTAAGGTTCAAAAGTCCCGTGATTTGAAATACAGACCAATATGATTATGAAACTAAGTACGCATTGCAGCTCAAACATTATTAGAGTCATAGTAAAAAAATTAAGACCCTAATTAATTTTTTTTATTATTACAAAATATTGGCAGATGGCCACTTTACCCCACACAGCGGGGCAAAGTAGTCACCCATATTTTGAGACGAAGTAACTATGATAAAAGTATTCCAAACAATCTCACATTTGATAAAACAGTACTTTAGCATTTATTACGCATATAATTCAGCTTAAGAACATAGTTCACATGTTAACACATCGTCCTCTTCATCGCATCCACCACATTCTTCATGTATGTGCCCATCTTTTGCACACTGAGAAGCATATCCAGCCCTCCCCTTTTTTGGATTTTGAGAAAAGGCTTGAGCAGTAGAGACATCTTCCTGCGCATCATCGTCACTGCTGCTTGTGTCATCTTTAACAGGAATTTTTGATTTCTTTCTCGGAACCTTGCTTATAGTCTTCTTACTACCAATACATTGCCTTTTAACTGCTTCTGGTTTTTTAGATGCCTTTTCTATTTCCAGCTCATTCTTATAATACATTTATAGCTGTTGTATGCACTGCTGCTCGAAGATACGCAGCACCAAACAATTTGCTAACTTGAAATTGTGATACGGTTCTTCCTGGGTTATTCTTAAAATATTTTTCGATCTCTTGAACATAAAACGTATTTAAGGGACCCATAATTGCCACATCAAGTGGCTGTAATTTGTAACCACAGTGGGGCGGCAGGCACAGCGCAGTCACGAAATTATCACGCGCCATATTAATAAAATCCAAGTTTTTAGTATGTGTAACATGCCCATCTAGTATTAACAAGCAAGGGTCTTCGGCTGTAGGCTTCACATACTCAAGAAAATGCTCAAGCCACTTACTGAAAATTTCCAGCTGCATCCATCCTGATTTATGACAGGCGAATTCAGTACCAGGTGGAGCTTCGTCCATTAACTCTTCTTTCATTCTTACTCTAGGAAAAATTATCATCGAGGGAATGAATGAGCCACCAGCAGACATGCAAACGACAACTGTTGATAAAATTCCTCTTTCTGCAGATGTGAGGCTTCCCATCTGTTTTCGGCCTTTTAGTGCAAACATTTTGCTCGATTTAGACTGCATAGTTGTAAGTCCCGTCTCATCTACATTAAAAATCCGCATAGGTCTGTATGGGAATCGACTAATGCATTCATCTAAAAGTGCAAATAACCTATCATCACTAGGCTTATTGAAGGCTCTAGCTCGGGCCGCACTAGTAGCTTCAGGAGTGCGAAGGCTAATTTCCGTATGTCTTTCACGAAACCCCTTTAACCAGTCTTCTCCAGAAAGCTGCGTTTCTCTGTTGAAAGTATGCCTTAAGCTGTTTTTCTCAGCTAACTGATATGCAAGTGATCTAAGGACTTTTTTAGTGAGACCATGACATCGCGTTTCCAGTTCCTGGATATGTTGAACTATTTCTACTTCTTGATCCAAAGTAAAAACTGGACGAATAGCGCCTAAGACTTTAATATTCCCTTTAGCATCTCTATTCTTATCTAGAACTCTTCTTTTGAGAGTATTTCGGGAAACATTATAAGTTTTACTGGCTGTTTGGAATGGCATATGTTGTTTTTTACGGCTTTGCTTGTGCCATAGCCTTAGGATCCCATGATCCCTGGTGTGAAGTTATCATATACTTCCTTGGTATTTTCTGGAAATAAGTTTACAACCAATAAAAAATTGATGATGGGTTAAAGTGCCCACTCCAATATTTAGACGGGGTATAGTGGACACTTTGTGGCCACTTTAACCCATCTTGCAACTCTTGAGAAATATCATAACCTACAAAATGTACTTCGCATATTCATCAATTATATTAGATGAATACATACCTAATACCATATGTTTAGGCTCTGCAAAAACTCAGCACTCTCGCATTTATCAATTGCGTTGCACAGCTCTCAACCTCACCACTACATCAGGCACGTGCAAAAACACAATTATGCAGATATCATCTAATGTGTAGATGTGATGGTTTCTATATTTATTTTCTGGTTGATGGTAATGACGCTTGCAACGATTCAGCGTTTTACCGCACAGATGGCGCTAGTAGGATAATAAAAATTAATCGTGGCCATTTTACCTCGGGTGGCCATACTATACCCACATCTCCCCTACAACCATAAAAATTCAATAAACTCTCCACAATTAAATAGGAATTATATACATATATTAAATAATTTTATTTTGAGATATTCATTTTAATCCGATATCTTTGTCAAATTTTTTTATCATAAAGCATCAGGCTCTTAATAAAAATATGACCTTTGTTATACATATTTCAAGCAAGTGAAACAGAAACGCTCTCAATTTGCACCATAATTTTTATAAACTGTATCACATTCCCCGTCGTTTAATTTTTTTAATTTTATTAATAAAAATAAGTCTAGTACTAAACAAATTAAATCATAGATGCTCAATCAATTAATACTAGTTGACACGTAAAGCGTAACTATTAGAATAACCTGAAGAAAACATAATATTATTTAGATACGCAGTCGCTGTCTACGGCAACCCATTAAATTATTTTAAATTAGAGTATAGCGCTATCTCTATTGATTTTAGTTTCTTGCCCTGAATTTCCGGAAGAAAAAAGATTTATAGTATTTCTAGTGTACCTAATGGAAATATGTTTAGTTCCTTTTTTATTCTCCAGCCACTCAATTTTGAAGCTACGTTCCTTTTACATCCACCATTTTATTAACCCCACAAACCTCAGTGTTTACAGCACCCACCATTTTTGATACCCTCAAACCTTACATTTACAACTAGAAATAACAATAAAGTTGCCCATATTGTTGGGGTATTTTCTTATAAAAAGCTAATACCTATACAATTATGTATTTAAAAAAAAAGCTGGTTATCTCTTTTTGACTTACCCATCCGTTTGAACTTTTTTAACATGAAATATATCGCTATAAATTTTTTTATCGGTAATATAATTTTAAAAAATGTCTTATAGGTACGACAGGAGCTATACTATTATGTGCTTTTATCGTTGACGTAATAGTATGGTATAAAGCAGGTAAAATCAACTTCGTCGACGAACAGGTACCATATGAAGAGGAGCTACATACGATAACAGGGAAAATAAAAGCAGAACCGGAGTAGCAAAAAACGTTGGTGGAATTCCCACCGGAATGAATTGTGTTTTAATTTTGTATCACAAATAGAGCAGGGCCTTGCCAAAAGTGTAGATCTAAAAGGTTTTACTCCATTAATGAATTGTTAGTCCTTTCTCTTATATTATTTTTGCGAATAACAGAATATTGACTGGACATTTTTTTAATTGTATATTATTGAATCTCATATTTATGACGAAGCCATAATAATATTTGCTGATACATCAGTACTTCTTGCATTTAATTTAGCCCGTGTCATTTGGTATGAACCATCAACGAAACAAATAGTTTTTACAAAAAGATAGATACTTATTTTTATATACGGTATAACTCGAATGCAGGAGGCGCAAGCCCTGTGATTCCAGATCTCACGGAATAATAAAGCTGATCTGAAGGATATTTACCTACTTAATTTGAACGACTTTGTGCAATATTATTTTCCAGTATAATTTAATTTGGTGCTTTTCTCAGTGACAATAGCTTCAATATCCATAAAACGAATTCTCCCTTATGGATTTTAAGATGTAAAAAGGTTTATTTAGTGCCAGGACTATAAGACTTGCTATTGTAAGCATCAGCTACAATGAGGTAAAGCCGCGCATTTGCAACCCGTCAAGTGATTGATTGTTAACATCAGCTTAGATTCTTAACACAGTGGCTGAGTTGGTGAGCGGAGCCAACCGACTTTCAAGATCTACGCAACTTTTTCCTAGCTGGCGCATACAATAACACAGTATTGCCAACCTACCTAACATATGGACTTCCTCATCTGATTTAATCAGGAATATAATATTTGTAGTGTTTTATTGTTTTTATTATGTAGTACCTATATTCTATATATGACAAAGAAATATGGATTTCGCTTTCTGATCTAACTCTGATTTGTATATCATCACTTATTAGATCCCGCTGTCGGCTCATATATAAATGTAAAATACAAAGTTTATTAATGTGGACAGATTCGAGTTTTCTTGCTACAGCAGAATAATTAGCAAGTGATAGAAGCAATAAAAGCATAATAATTAGGTAATTGTGAAACCAACAAAAATCTGTTTTAATTTGACAACTGTTCCTCTTTTCAATAAATAATTATCGAATACGTAAAGGTGACAAAAATAAACCAAATTAGCACTTACTAATTTAAATTTAAACTCACTAATTAGATTTTACATAGGTACCTCCATATTTCATTCGTTTTTGCGACACGTTGCCATATCTATATTTAGGTATTTAGGTTCGTTTTAGACCATTTCTTTAAATATTCAAGCATGAAATTAAACAGACATAAATATCTAATGATTGCCAAAGAGAAGTTGATGGTTAAACTCAAATGAAAAGGGCTAACTCTTTTTTGCATTTAAACAAAAATACTACAAAATCAACTAAATAAAAATAATATAATTTATTTATATTAATATGACTATTTACAGAATTTACCAAACCTCTGATACTGGGACCTAAATTATCGATTATGTATCAGTTTATAACTCTTATTATTATTGAAAAATTATCGTTTAATTCAAACCCAAATAATATTAATAATAAAATAGATGAAATCAAATGTTTTAAATAAAAAAATACAAACAATTATAGGTAGGTATACACATGATTTCCTGTAACCGCGATAGCATATTTTTTCAGTGATACGTAATTTCTAAAATAAATATTTTTTTATTTGAAAACAACTCATACCAGTGGATTTTTTTAGATTGAATTTGGCAAGATGAAAACAAAGATTCCAAATGTGTTTTAAGTTCAAGGATATGCGAAATTATACAAGACTGAATCTTTTAAGAGTAAAAATTTAAGTTACATTTCAAAATAAATTATACCTAGAGGTATATATGTAAATTAGTTTAAAAAAAACGAAGACATACGGACGGGTTGATACAACTGCACGTTATAATAAACATGTCATTGGAATAAAAAACTACAAAAGGTTCTGATTATGACAATTTTTAGGATCAGTTTGAGGCGAAATTATACATAAATATATCCAATACCCGCTTTTCAATATTGTAATGAGTAATCTCTACTTTCGATTTGATTTAAAACGAGGTAGGTAGGTAGATAATTTTTTCATAAACAATAATTTGGCAATGCCCCAAGTCGTAAAGCATAAAAACAACACCAACAAACAACAAACTGTCTGCAGATATAGACATTTAAATTGCAAACGACGGTATACCTACGGGATGGGCACGTAAATAATGAACAGAAACCGAATATTGTTTTCTTAAGCCACCAATTTTTATACAGAGTGAAGCGAAAAAGTACCAAATCTAATCATTTGATTCTTGAAATTTCAAAATCAAATAGGTAGAATTATTGATTAAAAAAAATTGGCAAAAAGATTTTATTTAGTAACAAAAATTAAAAAATAGATTTGTCAGATAAATAGTCAAAACTCTGTGATAGGAAACAATATACATAAAGTAAGACATTATTATTAGCTAAATAAACAATACTATTAAAAATTCCCGAAACAGGTCGATTTTTAAATTTAATTTATTGTTTTTTAAACACAGTGTCTAGGTACACGCTAACTTGTACGCAATTTAAAAAGTTATATACACGCGAAACGTCTTGACAGAGTAGGTGAGCTGTGTGCAGGCCGTTGGTGTTTACGCCGGTCGGCGTAGCTCGGTATAGATTGAAAGTCGTTGCTTCGTTTTCTTGTTATCACGGCATTATCATTATTATTTGTTCATGTATGTGAAATTTGCTTTATAAAATACTGCTGCTAGTCACGGTGTAAATGAAAATAAACAAGACGCATTCACAACAAACACCTCCCACCACAGCAATATGACGTTTCGCGTGTATATAATTTTTTGATTTGTGTACACTTTAGCGTGTACCTAGCAACAGCGTTTTTTAAAATAATAATCTGTTATACAGAGTGAACTACCTTCGTGTAATAACGTCATTACCATTTTTTAATTTTTTTTTCGAATTTCCGGATTTCCCTTGTTGAACTGATTCCAAAAATGTATCACACGTTGCTTCTAATTGGTACAGGGTGAGCAAACGTTCAATTCAAGATGATAGAGGAAAAATAAATACAATTTTAATCAAGAATAAGTTTTTGTTAAATGTAAAGTAAATCATTTTTCTTGTGTAAATTTTTTTTGGAACAATCTGTAGAATAAATCTTTAGGACAATAAATGACTTGGTATTTGATTAATTTTTTTCGGGACTCTAGGGGGGAGTAATACATTCGTCTCTAATATTTTCTAGTATAGTGCGAGTTATGTTCTGCATTTCTTGTCTGATTTGGCTTTTAGCTCACGAATATTTTAAATAATCTCTTTGGTGCATTACGCATATGTCCTAATTCTCTGAATTTTCGTTCTATTCTGCTTATAGTAAGTAGATTGTGAAATAGGTTCACAATCTAGATGCATTTCATGGAATAATCTGCATACCTCTTGTTGAGTTCGTATCCTATCGCCAACATCAATCATCATTAATATTTAAATGGTCTCATTTTTAGTTAAAAAAATACTTTCAAACAATAAAACAGTATAGTCGAGGGACTAGGAGCACTAATAAATGCTCTTAGATACAATATTAAAAATATAATATTTTTTAAAAATTTATCAAAGTAGTCGTATAACAATACGTAATTTCATTTAATTTGTTTATTATAAACTATATAGAAAGTCAAAAAACGTAGAGGTACCTACTTAATTAAAAAGTAACAAAAAGCATATAAAATTGGTGTCAAACTTTTCATGAACTTCAAGCAACCTGCTTCTATTTTTAAATCTATTCAACACAATACCTACTTCAGCGATCTGAATTTCAGTTAATAAATTTCTTCTTGTCTGTACCTAATATATTCAAATCTATTTGCAACTATTTAAATGGACAATTAGATGTAAATGTTCCTATTTCGGTTTAAATTTAATAATTGAGTCATTTTCAAAGATAACCTTCAAAACTTTTTACTTCGAATAAAGATCAGTACATAGTTATTAAGGTTCAATGGTGCATTATCTTCTACAATAAGTTTGTTTAAAATTAAATACTGTTATACCATTTTTTTAGTATGAAGCTGATTTAAATCATTATCCCTTTTAGGATATTTGGTGACAGCTTATCTACTAGTTTCAAAATTTACAAGAAGTAGGTAGTTTTTTTTTTTGGCTTGGGCACTTGCCATTCAACCAGTCGCGGAATATATTTTATAAGTTTAAATTGCATTATCACTCTAAATAAGTAAGTAGTTAATTTAATGAAATATAAGCAAAATTTTGAGTTTCAAGCTAGTTACTTCATCATGACATGTTTTATTAATAAAGTTTTTTAGTAGGGTCACCAAGTCCTCTTATTGATTGATATCAGGGAGAAACCTAAGTACCTACGTAGATACTTTTTTCACTGTGTATAGAAGTCGTTAAATAAACAGCTTTAAAAAAAACAAAAATAAAAAACTTACATTCGTTTATTTCAAAATGGATCCAATACGGTCCATTCACCTCACCACAAACGCATTTCATGTCTTCTCGCATCGGTCATTCTACATGTCCTCCACGATATTCCCGCAAATTACCCGTATCCCTATAGCCTGTTGAGTTAAATTAATAAAAGTTCTGGGACTACGATATGCTCCCGAGGCAAAACTATTGAATTAACGCTATTAAAATCACACAGACGAATGAATTACAATAACAGCTATCGCGGGATTCATACATAAAAAAAATTCAAAAAATGTAAAACAGATAACAGCGCATAAACAGGCTTCTCTTTAACTTAATTTTTGATACACAATTCCAGGCCCTGACTTACAATTTTTTAATTCTGTATCTTTATCTTTAGAGTGTTTCTTAAACACTCTTCGAAAAATATGTTTATTTTAAAGACTTGGAAACACAGTTAAAAAAGTATCAACTTAGGCTTCATCCTATATAATTCAGTCTACTGTTCTTGCTTTCAAGTTTTTCTTTTGTACATTTCGTTTTTTACTTTCTTCTAAGCAGTATTTTGGCAACTGCTTTCTTTAAAGACGTTTCAGAAATGGGACCTCTATCATGTGATACTTTTATGATTATTTATTAGGAATCCACACATCTTAGTCATTGTAATTGGCTTTTAATGCCTTGCAAGTATGACTGTGTCATCGGCAAATGTTCCTATGATTGTTTCATTATTTCTTGGGAGATCCGCTGTATACAATACATGCAGTACCTTGTGGATCGTCTAATTTTATTGAGAAATTGTAAAATGCCAGTTCTGTCAAATACGTTAGTGACATTGTTTTAGGTTTGCTACTGAAGTTATGAATGTTACTTTTGGCCCACTGATGCCATCAATTTGGCCACGTGGGATACGGGATTGTTGAAGACCTGAAATAACAAAAGACATTGAAACTTTTTATCAAGAGCCCTTAATAAATAAAAATTCATTAAACAGCTGCGTTTGTAGTACTTCCTCTTTA